AGTGATATGGTAAAATAGAGGCCTCCCACAGCCATGAAATTGAAACATATTCAGACCTAGTCTCTAAGTTTGCCATGTTCACATTCTATGATAATAATTTGGTTGTTCTGATATATTTTGCCGCCATTATCTATGTCCAGAAGAACAAGAAGGATGTGACCTCTTTTGTTCCTGCTAAGGTTTCCTCCAGTTTCCCTCTTCAAAGTTATCTTTAAGTATCTGATTCAAGGGTTCTAGGAACAATGGTGTTTGTTATGATATAAATAAAATTGACTTGACTTCCACTTGACTATAGGCTGCTATACAAGGAGATCAGATCCATCTTATCAACTGACAGAAGTGCAGTGTCTGTTACTGTCAAAGCCTCACAGGTACACATTTTCTAAATTCACTGCATTTAACGTCTTCAAAGAAGCAATAAACACTGGTCCAGCTCTACTCCGCTTTAATTTAAAAAAAATCTCTGGTAATGTTCCTCATTTGTTCAAGTCTGTTTGGTTCCCTGATGTATAAAAGATGAAATTACTGAAATTAAGTGTTAAGGATATTTTGTGTTTGTGTTGCTTATAATCACCAGCCTCCATAATTTATGACCTCCATGTGATGCACTCCTACTCCTGTTATGGTATTGCTTGCTTGTTTTAATGTGGTCTCAGCTCATGGATTTCTTTCTTAGTACATTATTCATGTTGATGCTTAAAGATTTTTGAATCACACATACTTTAAAGGAGACATATTATGTTCATATTCAGGTTGGTAATTTTAATTTGTGTTATTAATTGAAAAGGTTTGAATACTCTAACGTTCCTCATACTGTCCATTGCTGCAGCCTCTGTCTGAAACGCTTGTTTGGTTTTTTTTACACTTGGATTTTTATGTGCCAGTAGGAAATGTCATTCTCTGCTCTCGCTCTACTTGGCTTGTTAGGGGGCATGTCAGACTAGCAGCCAGGCGTATTATGCAAATATGGCCATTGTGATATCACAACATCACATTGATGCAGAAGTGTCGGTCAGGGAGAGGAGCTCCCTTTACACACACACACACGCACACAAAACTAACACTCATAGGAAAAAGAAAAACTGAAAGAGCATTGTAAGTCTCCTTTAACTGAAAAAAGAAAAGGAAACAGTATTTTTGTCACATTTCCTAAATTAAATTTCCTTCATAAATTTACGTCACACATTCTTCAGAGCTGAAATCTTGAGATCAGAACTTTGAATTATTTGTAATCAGATATCTTTGATCTTTTTAACAACTTCAGTCTTCTGAAAGTTGTGGTCTCAACAGCACGTCTATGTTTGGGTAATTGAATCAGCATGAGTTAAGATGTGTTTAAAGACAAGTCTGTGCATCAAAGTCACACAGTTTGTGTTTATATGTTGAGTGCCATGGTATCTGCATTGTTGTTCTCTTCTCTCACAATCACGTTTCACTTAAGTTCAAATCGGGCTTGTTGCCTGTGGTGCAGTGATAAATATGACGGGAAGGACGGCCCATACGATTCAGCCCTCACACT